ATAAATAACCGAATGATTAGTGTTTGTCATGTCATTTAAGTAAAAGTGTTTTCAGTTGGTTTTTAAGTTTTAATTTTTTCGAAAAACATAAGATAGTAATTTGTAGAAAATTGAAAGACGAATCCGAAAATATCATGATTTTTGACTGTAAAGCAGTGGCGTACTATTTTATTTACAAAAATATGTAACCAATATTGCGTAGCTCCTCTACTGGAGCATCTAAATTTTAGAAAATGGCCTCAGATTTTGGACAAATGTTTACATACATACATACATACATGTGCCCAATTTCAAATTATTTCACTTATTAGTTTTTAAATTATTTAAAAAAATTAAAAACATTTTTGAAATGTCTCTTGTTTCGGAGATCTTGGAAATAAAACTGTTTCGGATATTTTACTTAACTAAAGTATATTTAGTAATACCACAGCCTAGAGGCTGTGGTAATACGTTGACAATCTTAGTGACTACTTTCTAAGGAAGATCGTAAGTACTTATTTTGAACACAATCATTGGTATTTATACTGCCCTAGGTTAAATTATCATTAAGTGTTGATGACCGGTGATTTGGTATGGTCCAAGAAATTCCAAATCCTAATCCTCTTAATTGTATCAATAAAATAAATGTATTCTAATATATTAATAGGGTTATAATTTGTACCTGGATAAACCCCGACCCTTCAATTATCCCTCAATTTAAAAATGTAATTATGTTTTGGATTCAGGATTTCCTTAGACTAATTCCTTTACTGCTTAATTATTTAGGTAAACAAAAATACATATAGTTTATATGTAAAAATATATGTTACGACGTAACAATTTTTTTAAGTTTAATACCCTGCATCTTTTTAACGAAGCATCCTAGATAAAAACTTCTTAGACTCTCCTTAAAATTCACCAAAGAATACGAGGTTTTATTTTTGGTCACCTTTTGTGAATCACACAAAAAAAAACATTATTTTCCAAAATTTTAGTATAATTACCCCAAAAAATAAATAATCATAAAATAAATAAATAAATAAATAAATAAATAAAACACTTTTTCAGGCCTATAACTTCGGAAGGAAGCAAAATTATAAAGGAAAATTGATTTAAATCATTTTATTTTCGAAATGTTAGGGTTTTTAAAGGTAAAAATACATTTTATTTTCGGTGATATTTAGGCATGACAGGTATTTTTATAGGTACCGCATACTATAAAAATATCTTCTTCCTATAATCTTAAAATGCATTAGTGCAATAAAGTAGCTATTTTTGAGTGTATGCAAATAAATACTTACCATTATAAAGTCTCCTAAATTCTATTTAATGACACATTCACTTTCTTAAAAACAACTGTATTATAAACCAACAAGTAGCATAACTCGCAATTTCAATAAATCGGTGTATAAAAATCAAATTGTTAAAACTGTAATTAATTAGAAACCATTTTTATTATTTTAAAGTTTATTCTTACACAAAACTATTATATTCACTTATAATATCATTACTGCTTAAATTATATCTGGAAATTTTTTCGAGGTCACGAATATTTTGAAAATTACCTGGAGTCAAAGACTCCAGGTGAGACTAAAAATATGTGTGACCAAGAAAAAATTTCCTTAAATAATTTAAGCACACGTGGTATTTGGTAAGAAAATTTCACAAATTATACAATATACTTAAATATCATTTGTCAAAACTTAAAAAGTGAGATTTGCAATTGTTGTACATATACTTGTTTGTATATAAAATATTTAAGGAACAGATGAATGACGAAAATTAAATAAAATAAGTACATTGTTCTTGCTTTTAAATTTAATTATAAAAAATAATAGGAATTAGTAACTTTTTAACTAAAAAATATTAATAGATAATATTAATAATATTAAATAACATAATATTATCAATAACATAATAATAATATTATTACATCTGGAATTTAGGGAGGGTAGCCCATTGGGCCCCTTGTACTTCCTCGTGTTAGAAGATTAATTCACCTGTGCCGCTAACCTTATTACTATATTATATTATTAATATAATAATATAATATTAATAAATAAATTTGGTAGTGATTATTTGCTTCGATGCCTTTTATTATAAGTTCTGAATTTCTCAAGAGCGTGTAATTTTACTGGATCTATGTAGTCTTTCCCTGGGTTTGTCGATAAAAATTTTGCAAATTTTGTGTCAGAACCATTCACAATTTTGTTGACTTGTTTGCACCACCAAAAGAGAGCACATCTAACCATAACCTCACATAATTTCAATCCTAAGTTATGTTGAGGGCAACTATTCAGAACATTAAAATTTAAATTTTGTTGAAGAATATGCTTTAAAACGTTTGCGATTTTATTTGTAGTAACTAACCGAGGTATTAAATAGAACAGTGATTTCATAGAATGTGTTACTAGAAAATTGACATAGTGTCCTGGTTTCATGAGATGTGCTCGTTCATACTCTCTAGCTTCTATAAAATCATCCTCCATTGGCATACCATGTCTAACAGAAAGCTTGTTTTGGCAATTTTTACATTCTTTTAACATTTTTGTTTTAAGCAAAATTTTAATAATAGCTCCACCCATGTAAACTAAAGTACAGCGAGCTATTTTTGTTTCTTTATGAATGATAATATTTCTTGGTATTTCTGGCAGATCTTTGTCAGTGTCTAAGGGACGTACACCAGCTATATATTCACCAGTTAAGAAGGTTCTTAAATTATCCAAGCACTCTGTGGCCATATCTTTCTGACAGTTTGAACCAGGAGAATGACTCGACATAAAATTATTTACAACTAACGATTTAAAGGATGAACAAAAATGAGCTACATCCGGATTTGTATATCTATGGCCATGACTCCTAATATAACTAAAAAAATTTTCAAGAGGGTCTTGGTTAAATGCTCCTGTTAACACAAACTTGAATTTTTTTTTTATTAACAGAATTTGCCTCAGATATATGAATCCCTTAACAGTAAATTTTAAATTTTTCAAAGTAGGAATAGCAACAAACCTTTGCTTTTCCAAAGAAAAAAATTTCATGGTATCTAAAATTTTTAGCGAATTTTGCCAAAATTCTTCATGAATGGAATTTTTTGTTACTGCCCATTTCAGTGGTTCAGCCTGTGGTTTAGACTTTTTTGAAATATTCAATGAATCGAATAGTTTGTCCAAAAAAAGAATAAGGTCAGCCGTATCCGTTGCTTCCTTAGGCAGATTATAGTTGTCCTTAATATCTGAAACAAATAAATAAATTAATTTAGCAAAATATAAGTCACTTTTTCTTGTAAGAGATACAAATAATAATAATCATTACTGGGCATCACCCATAAACAAACATTCTGTCATACAGGTTTAGCATTTTACGTTGCACTCTCGTAGGAAACAGTATCCATTCATGCCCACCTAATGACTATTATTTATTTTATTAATCTGACCACGCACCATAAAATGAGTATGCAGATTAGATTTAGATTCTTCAAACTTTATTTGACAGAGAAATAGGGGAAAATGAATGTTGACAGATAAAGGTATCAATCAAGTTATTGGGTATTAAGTCATTTTATTTGACCCTAAGTATGCTATATTCAAATTGATTTTTTCATATTTAGATTTTAAATGTAAAAATAAATTATCAATATTAATGACCAAGTATAAAAATAGTTTGTCAAAACTTACCCCATTGTGCAATGCGTTTCATTAGTGACCCTACAGCATGACTAAACACTTGCGTACAATTTTTGACCTTCATTTTGTTCATTTTTGATGGGATTATATGGGCATCTGTTAATTTATTGCAGATCCTTAGAGCTGGTTCTGATGAATCTAATTTATAAAATTGGTCTATATGACTCCATTTTCCAATTTTATTTTGTCCATCCATAGTGAAATGTAAGTTTTTATTTAATAAATTATTCCTAAGTCCTTTAAAAAGATGTGGGACATCGTACAATGGAATAATCTCCCGTCCGTCAACTAAAAATCCAAAATGTTTATTTTCTATATTGTCCCGTATGCATTGTTCTTTGGTTTCCTTTAATAATAAATTGATAGCCGTTTGGTTTGTGCTGCCTTGATCACAGACTGTTGCTATAACATCTAACCCTATGCTCTGACATTGCCTGATTATAATTTTAGTCATGTCCTTTAATTTATTTGACTTTACAGGACCATGACTAAAAGTAAAAGCAATGGGCTGCTTCCATTGTCTATAGACTCCCTTTAACATATAAACATTAGCATGATCAGCTAATACGGCTCTTTTTTCATTTCCATAATCTTCAATACCAGTTATTACATCATGTTTTCTTTGATATGTTACATTCGATTGTAACGCTATTTCATCGAAGAGTAAAACACAAACTTTCTCTTGCACATTTTTCATATTTTCAACGGATAATTTGAGACTATCAAAAATTTGCTTATTAATGCCAGGATAAAATGGTATCTGTTGGAGGAGGGTAGTAAGTGTTCTGGAAGATGGTAATGCAAATATTTTGCTGAGCAATCGATAACCCTTTCCACTGCTTTTAAATAGTGACAGAGCCAAGATTTTTTCTTCCAGTGTATACCGTCTTGCACGTAACTTTAATTGTTGGTTTCTGACCTGACACATAATAAAATGATACGTAGGATCATTCACATATTGCAGGAGGTTCTGAAAATCTCTGGAATTCTGAACTTTTTCTACAGTTGCCAACCGTTCTCGATAAGATTTTATATTTTTGCTCATCACCGACATTTTTTTACTCCAGTTCTTCAAAGTTTGGTAGAAATGTTTTGCCTTTGGAGTTAAGTAAGTACTACGAGTTGTATTAACTTGGCTCAAGATTGGTCTTCTCTGATGTTCTGAAAAAAGGAAATATCATATAATTCTGATGTTTGTAAAACAGAAGTATGTAATACATAACAACCATAAATAAGTACAGTCAGTCTTAAATAATTCCTAACTTCAACGGAATTAGCTTATCTAATATAATTTACAATTATAAAGATAATCGTAAAAACATGAAAAGCAACAGATTATAGTTTACCTTCTTTGGATAAAGCAGGTATTTCAGTGAAGCTTAATGGCCCAGGAGTAGGTGACCTAGTTGATGGTCCAGCCATTTCTGCATCTGATACATAAACGGAAGACTTAACTGCAGTGGACGGTGTTAACATTTCGGATGATGTAGAGCTGGTAGTAGTGGATATATTAATAGACAATACTTCTCCCGAAATGTCCTTAAATCCTAAAAAGGTGTTTCTTAATCAATGTGTATCTAAGTATTTTTCAAAGATATGAAGTAATACTAGAATGGTAGAGAGTATATTTTCTACGATTTTGTAAAATTATTTTTAAATGCCATGAAATAATATTGCACAATGAATATAAACAATCAAAAAAAAAAAACTAAGTAAAACTAAAACTGTCTACACAAAAAATGTTTAATATTGCAAATATAAATTCTTGTTCATTATAGGTACCACAGATACAGATTGGTCAGGCAATCGGTGCAATAAGATGTTTAACATTTTACTCGCACACAAATATTACTTGTTTAAAGCCACGAACTATGTAATTATTATTCTTAGTATTATTATTCTAAGTATATTATTAGTACATACCTGAATATGCTGGGATTAAAAGTGTAGGCACTGCATTTCTTGTAAGACCTCTACGCGTTCCAGGAACAAAACATTCAGAGGAAAAATGGTCTTCACAAACATAACATCTATTGTATATCTGTTCGATTGTGAGTTCATCACAATCTACAGGTTTAATAATTTGAAGCCATGTTTTAAAAAGATCGATATCACTTTTCGGAAAACGATGTCTCTTACTGCTTCTATTTAAACAGTTCGGTACACAGCACTTTTTCGGTTTTAACGGAACAATGTACTCCTCCATCACGACACGAAAGTTAGAAAACTTAAATATAAAAACACACAAAAAGACTCTACTAACACACAACGACACAAGACACAACTCAGAACGCAAATGAAAGTATTAATTTTGTAGGTTAGAGCCAAAGACGCCGAAACACAATGAACGCTTACAGTGCCATCTAACTGAAAATAACTAAACCAGTTTTCGGTATCTAGCACCCCCTGACGGACGCGATCCGTTCTATTAACAGGGAATGGCGGGAAAGCCGAACTAACCAATCTAAACTATTCCGTAATTTGTGATAAATACATGAAATTTAAATTGGAAGCTAACTAGTACTACTCGCGCCATCTCGAAAACATTTGCCTTACTAATGATGCAGTGAACTTTGCAAACAAGTTCTGAGCTTAGCTCTTCGACGTTTAGAGGGCACCTCAATCGACACGTTTAGCTTTTTACACCCAATAATAAATATATCTGCTGACGCACGCGAAAGCTAAAATATTTTGTTACGTATTGTGCTACAGACTGACCAAAATAAATAAATCTGTATAAAAATAATTTGCTTACCTATTTAGATATTTTAAAGTAAAGAGAAGTTTATAAAATATAATTTGTAGTGTGCTGCCACCTAACGAATATTTTCTTACTAAATTGATAGTAGAAAACTCTTGAATAACAGTTTCTCTCATAGCATCCTTAAGCTTCAACTAATAGATGGCGGTGATGGAGAAAAAATTGAAATTCTTCCAAATATGAATTAAATGTTACGTATATTTTAATTTATATTTTAAAATAGCGCTCGTTATATTCAAAATAAATAAAAAAATTACCTAGCACATTGTGTGTTATTAAATTTATAACCCATAGTTTCAAAAAATGGCAAAGTTAATAGGGTATATTGTGTACAATATCTCGTGCAGATAATATTATCTATTTGATACCTAGTCGATTCATAATTTTATTCAAATAATGAACGATAAAATTTAGATAGTAGGATTTTGAAGTACTAGAGTGGTATGATTTTTGAAGTATTTACTTTAAATGACATGACAACAGGCAAAAGGTGCAAATGTTCATCACTTTTAAACAAATAAAAATAATATGATGTAATATGTCGCTAGTATCTAGTAGTTTTAAGTGTACTGGCTGGGTTTTTCGTAGTATTTCGTAACATTGTTCAAATTTTCGGTAACACTTGAGCAGGGTACAACCAAATCAAAATTTAGGTTTTCATTAATTATGTAATTTTCATTAATCGGTTTCATTTATTAAATTTAGTACTGTTGCAGGTTAAAATTCATTACGTGGTGCATAGTTCATAGTTCCGATTGTTGTAACAGATATCAGGTCACCTTGTGTGCTGATATCGCAATTTTAAAGTACATACATTAATGTACGTTTGCATAAAAAAAATCGTTTTTTCCTGGATTTTTAAGGACAAGAGGGGGAAGTAAGTTGAAAAAGCTACGTCAAAAAGTAACAATTTATTGCACAGTATATACATTATTGCTTCACAATCATAAATATTTGAATGAAGGGCCTGGTCAGGGGGTAACTAATCTCGCTGTTTAGAAATTTGGAGGTTCGTGTGCTATTAGACAATAAATTATAATACTGACTATAATAATTTACTCAATACAACGAAATTCAACTTCCGACATAATTATTAGCAGTATCTGACTAGCATTGAGGCCGCTCTACCTCAAAATCTACAATAATCTTAAAGAATTCGCTACAGCATACTGGGAGATTCCAAAACGTCCGTAACTGAGCTCAATATGAGCCAAAAATCGTACTATACACGTCCATGCTCTCGCCTACAGAAGCGTCTCGGTTTTACTAGATAAAAAATCGGCGCAACCCGTCCGGATAAATCGGACCGCGGTGCCCAAGTTCTTTTTTTTAAAAAAATCACAAGATTGTATAAGATCAACTAAACGCTATAGTCAATTTAACCTAGTATCAATATGTACAGGACTAACTAAACTAAATCTTCATTGTCAAAGATCAGGAGTAGAAATTAATATAATAGTAATCAGTCTCATGGAGGAAGGCCGACAGGCTGGCCGGATCCGAGTCCGGTGGACCCGACCGCAGGGCTAGTATACGTAGATCTGCTTGAGCTGGGGCTTCAGCTCCGCTGGAATGGTGTACACTTCCGTCGGGGGTTTCCTCTTGACGAGACGTCTCCATCTACCTCCTAGGTTCTTCCGGAAGCCGCGAACGAACCCGGGACGTTCTGCGGGCAGGTTTTGTACAAGCGTATCCTGCAACAAAAGAAAAACATAAGTTGGGACGTCGAAAGTGATGTTTTCTTTCAATTTTCAGTTTGGGAAAAGGGGTTATTGATGAGCGACGAGTGGAACGATGCAACAAAGCATTTTCTACCTATTTTTCTTCTTTGCAATTGAAGAAAACTATCTCATTGACTGCAAAGATTTTCTGTTGTTCCGCTTAGACCCCGTACGTGCTACCAGTTGGCAACACTGGGGGAGTGCCTCGGTGAAAATATTTTGGTGCGGCCGTACGTCTGAGGGTTCGTTTCGATCGATAAACCCTTCGCGTGTCATCGAACCCTAAAAACCGTCTGGCCTTGTGCAACGACAATAATGCGTGCCTCAAGATGTCTCCAAAGCCCCCTAGTACTTATTCATGCGGTTCTGTTTTTGTGCAGCAGACGTTCAACCAGCGGCAGGTTGCCGTCTTACTTCCTCTTAGCTCTCTCTCTCGAGAGACGGACAACCGAATGGGTTCATTGCCTACCAACGGTCCCTCGAATTCTATTTAAAGTAGTGTGTGTGCCGTTACCGGCGCGGATTTGGGGCTTTTGTACTCTACTTTCTCTTTATTTTAACGGCGACGGTTCGAGGCTATAAAAATCCAAAGTGAAAACCGTCCGTGAGAACCACAGCCTCGCGCGCATGTAAAAGGTAATAATTTCGAAAGTTTCGATCTTAGCAAACCATGACCGGTAGTTTTTTGTTACGGTCGTCGAGCGTGAAGCGTTCGACGTTGCGACACGACCACTATGCAACGTACAGGGTGAACTGTGTCGAATTTAGAAAGACATATTCGAAAACCGAACGGTAAATTGCACAGTTGGCGTGGCGTTTCTTTTGTTTGGTTTCGCAACTGTCATCTGGCCTACTGAGATGTTAATTCGACATTAGCATGTAAACTTTTGGCCTCATTTCGACTCGTAACGGCTACTTTTACCGGTTAGGTTACTTGGGACGCCTTGAAGCGTTCGTCGTCTTCCTTTTCTATTGTTTGGACAAGGCCTGCATTTCTAATCAGGCGATAAAAATTCTAACAGCTTTTGACAGGGGGGTCGTGCGGTGTGAGCCTTACATACAAATCTCGTGGCTTTTTATGTGAACATTTTGTGATATTCGACGCGTTTTGCATTGGTAGAAGCTTTTCTAAGGCTCTGGGGTATTTGTATTTTTAAATTGAATAGTTTAAATCCTAAATATTAAGTTTTTATCATCAATAAGTCTAGCCAAGGTCTACAAACAAAGTAAAACAGCTATAAGAATTCTGCAGGCTACATATTTCTGAAGAAAATGTTTTGAGAATGACGTTTACTGATTTTGAAACTTTAAATGAAAAGACTGGCTTATTTGCGCCCTTACATAAAACCAAAAACAAATGCATTTTTGTATAAACGTTTTTACACAAACGTGTGCAAACTGTTTTTATAGTTTTTAAAAATGTCTTTGTATGTTTACGGGCAAAAGAGTGTAAATTATTCCTTCATTATTTGGTCCTCAATTTTTAGGTGTCGCTCATCAAATGATTTAGAAGGGTTTTTAGGAGTTTTAGGGGTTCTAGGAGTTTTCGAACTGTTGCCTCCTCATAACTTTTGCAGTGTTTCATCAATAATTTGAAACGCGTGGCACACATCGTCAAAAATTATAAGGAAGCAATTTTCGTGAACTTTTGATGTTTGGGAGTTTTTGTTTTGGAAATTTGGGACTGAGGGAGGGTATTTTTTCAGGTAGATGCAAGCGGACACCTACCTGGTCGTGATTGTACAGGTACTGCGTCGTGGGCGGCGGGGGTTGCGTCCACAGAAACTGCCCCCGGTAGGTGAGGTCCGACTGAAGAACCTGGGGTGGCGGAGGTGGCTGGATGGCGGCCGAGATGTGGGTGGCGGCCGGCGTCGTCTGCAGCACAACGTCGGTTACGGGGTGAACGGAGTTGGTGTGCTCCTCCCTCTTCCTCAGTTTGCTGCGGACAAGACGGATGGCTAACATGGTGCCGTTACTGCCCACCATTTTACTGTTGGGGCTTCGGTTGGAGAAGTTAAAGATAGCTATTTTGAGGCCGTGTACGTCCGTGATTTTTGTTTTAACGAAATTACAGCACTTTAGAACAGTCACAAACACACTCGGGTGGCGGTGAATAAATAAATCCCTTTGGTATTTGTTTTGTTTTGCGAAAACACTTCACTTGTCCTTCTGGGGTGACTAGATCGAGGGTCTAGCTCGCAGAGTGGTGCTAAACGACCTCAAGGTTTTTGACTCGCTACTCGCACTCGGTGGAGTAACGCGGTCGTCAGAGAAGTGAACGGTTATATAGTGGCTGGGAGCGGGGAGGCGCGGTGTATGCGACGCGTCGCCCCTCGTCATATCGTAGTATCGCTGGAACAGCTGACGGTCGTTTCTTTGTACGCGCGGCGCAGCCCAGGGAACAACCGCTATGCGTTCATCGGGCGGCGACTCGGGGAGATTATGCGGGTTTTTCGGAGTTTACGCAACGAGAATTTTAATCGGAAAACCTGATTGCCGACCCCTGTGGAATACCTCGAAGTAATTGGGATATACGTAAATACCCCGCCGTCTTGGCAAATTACATAAATGTATTACTTCACCCAAAACGATTGTCTTCCGACTGGAATTCGTGCCGAAGAAAAAAATTCTCGCAATGATCGGATTCCGTCGTGTTGGTAAATGATTAGACAGAAGCCAAAACAACGCCATATTTACCATGCGATAAACCGCGATTTGACGCAATGAAAATGATGGATGTGAAGTCTAGGGAAATGTAATTTGCTTGACGCAGGTTTTGTGAAAAACTTGTTGATACAGTTTCGAGCTGTCTCCGTAAAAATCGCAAATTTCATCAATGAGTCACTTGGCGCAACGTCACAGTTCCAAAATTTGCCTCAGTGTTTTTAAATTCTGGATATTTATTAAAAATATGCCTTTTCAAGTGCAGATGAGGTCATATTTTCTGCTAACTTATAAAAATATGTATTTTTAAATTAAATGACTAAACAAAGTCCGTGGTTCAGAAATAAGCTTGATAAGCTTACTGTTTTTTTCCTCTACACGTATATTTAGATGTTTTGCCGCCTGTGAATATGAAATAGTGAAATAAACCGTGCGTCAGATTAGTTCGTCTAATAAATCTCACCCTGACAAAAAAGACATCACTATATTCACTTTTTCAAAGCTGATTCAAATAATTTCAATAAATTTCCCCAAGAATCCTACTAAAAGAAGACAAACAATTAATTCTTTGATGGAAAAAATCCAGGTATTTAAGAGATCTAATCTAAAAAAATTCTTTACTGATGATATTCCGGGAATATCAGTTAAGAATCTTATGTATGAGGCTAGGTATTTTTTGCATACCTAGAATGCCTTTAAAATAAATAAAAAATAAATGAGCTAATAAAGTACATATTTTTAAAAAACAATACACTGTTGTTTCATGTCATTTAAAAGTATTAGCCTGCTCGAAAAGCGTTTCCGGCAATTCAAACTGATACACTGAGCCAAGTTATTGTTTTTCAAGTAGCGTTCACTCCTCTACGAGTTTTTTAGGTAAACAAGCATTTCTCGAAACAAACCGCCTGTACGATATCAGTTCGGGAAACAAACAAATACCAAAGTAATACACTCCGTTGGCGATTTTCCGTGACTTGTGACTGTTTACAAACACCCCGCTTACGAACAACACGCGAAAAACTCAATATGACATGCAACAGAACTGACTGACGTGCGCTGTCGTGTAAATAACAAGCGAAAATTTAAAAATCCATCATGTTCTGTTTGGATCCGAGTGTTTTTCGTCTCCGGCACATTCTCAACGTCCGCGATGGTTATTTTTTTTTAGTCGGGCCGAAAACGTATTTATTTATTGTGCTTTGCCTGCGTAAACGATATGATAAGTATACGCAAATGTCTGGGTATTATTTCTTTGTTTAATAAATATTATAAACCGACGATTATGAAAAATTACGGCCGATATTTTTCGCGTAATATCAAATCGGACGCCAATTTTGTTATTTCAGCTTGAAGGATATTGGTCCTTTCAGGACAAACTGTTGATTTCCGAAGTGTTTCAGATCTGAAGTCAAGATAGCTTAAAATTACGCATTATTTCGAAATAATTATGGGAAGCGTGGATTTTCCTAAAACCATTTGAAATTACTTGGAGATAAGTATTAGAAAAAAGTTATAAACTTATTTTTGTACGCTAATTGTTTTTTAATTGTTTCAACAATAATAAATAGTTTTTTTTAAGAACATTTAAAATAAATCACTGAATTTTAAATGGAATTCTTTCAAATTGACAATATAGGGGTTTTCGATGTCGCCGAACAAGGATATGAAGTCGGAAAATGAAAATTCAAAATGGCTGATCCAATATTGCCGACTATTTTAAACAATTTATTTAACAATTATGGATTTTAAATCAAACTCGCTCATATTTGTAATATAGAGGTTCGAAAAATGATAATTGTAAATGGCTAAAGAGATTTTATTGAAAATATGTTTTATCTTTTATAAAACAAATTTATTACAAAATAATTAATTTTTAAATCTCATCGAGTTCTTGCTCTTCTTCGTCCCCTATTATTTATTTATTCATTAATTATTTTAAAAATGGATCAATATTCATATATTAAACTCATACATTTACAGGTTTAGCATAAAAGAAAACGAATATAAATGCCTTAAATGTAAACTGAAGATTATTTGTAATATTAAGTAATAATATTACATTAAATAATTACAAGTGTACGAGAGTATAACCTCAAAATGGACAAAATATGTGAATATTAAATCAATTCATCAAAAAACGTTATTTTTTTGCTATTATAACAATTTTCCACTTATTGTTATAAATAAAAAAAATATTTTTCCGCTGGATTTACTTTTTTAAGGTCTTAACTAAATTCTTTGATGTTTTTTTTTGTTTTTTAACTATTATTTCAATTTTTTAAGGAAAATAAAATGCACCATCTTAAAGTAGATATTTTAAGCTTTAAAAAGTGCTCTCATAAAGTTTCAATATCACATTTACAACTATAGTTTTTGATCTATAAAGTATGGCCTAAAAAGTCAAATTTGTGATTTTTTAAAATTATTGATTATGTTGGGCTCAATATTTTTCAAATTAAATTTTTAAGATTTTTTCCATATCGCTCACTGTTTCAGTCGTCTTTTGAAGAGTAATCTGTGAGTAAAAATGTTCTGCTCCCTCGAATGGCGCAGTTATTTTTTTTTAGAAAATTATATTTTTTATATATTTTGCAAAAACTGTAATTTTGCAACTAATTTGTAAAATAAATAATTTAGCGTATACTCTACTGTTGGTAACTTTTTATATGTTACTTCTGACAACTTTACAAAGCGAAAAATAAAAAGTTCTCCCTTCCCGTAATTTGCGCTAAGTCAAAATCTATCTTGACTCCACTAGTACAAAATATACAAGAAATTAAGTAGCAGTTAAGAAACCTCAAACAAATGCGCTTAGTGTTGTTGTTTGCGTATTCATAACATGCAATAGAACCAGTTTTTTCCTCAAAAACAGTGTGCGAGGTCAGTTGTCGCGACTAGTTTCGTCGTAGCGCTTTCGCGGAAAAAAAAATCGCAAAAAGACAAAGAATATGTTTATAATTTATTATACATGTGACGAATTTTTGTAACCAATAAGATTACTTTCAAGTAAATAGAAGTTTGTGCTCTATTTGCCGAATTTGTGCGTTAACAAAGGATATTCGGTATAACGGTAGGCAAAATGACATGGTTACATCATTTGAAAGTCACATAATACGTGGCTTGTTGTTGCTTCAATCATAAAATGTTGAGGATTAAACATTCTGTTTTTCTTTGATAAATAATTAAAATATTTAAATGTAATACCTTATTAAACCACACAACTAAGCTGTGCGCTTAGCATTTTTTAAAACATTTCCCCAAACAATACGGGGATTAATTGTTTGCGCCTTATAAACTTTTTATTGCACCCCCGTATACATGCCATGCGCGCCAAAGCTCTTTACGACACGCCAAATATTAAATTACAACGGCGTCGTTACAGCGGTGTCAATGACGCGCTTTACAATAAATCGTACCCCAAAACATTCGCCACACGAGTGATACGGCTCGTATCAAAACAAACGACGATAGCACACGGGCGACTCTTCGAGTACCCGCAATTAGCGACACGCGCTCCCAAGGGTGAAAGTACGGGTCGCGATAACGCCAAAAAACGAAGGATTTTGCATACGCAACGGTTTAGAAACGTGACGACACTGTAAAATGTGTAACTAGCTCGAAATCCATACTAATATATATTTAATACAGTCGAGTGAAGGTTACTCGATCATCTATAAGGGTTGTAAGGGGAATAGGTCTCGAAACGGTACCTTGAGGAACGTCAATTTAAAAAAGCTACTAAAATTATTGATAGGTTGACTATATTCTTTACGATGGCCATTGGCCTTGAAATGTAAATTTGTTCTCAACTAATTTACGTAACAATTTTCAGTCTTCCGGCATCCTAACAGGTCTCATTCGCCCCTTGACAAATGACTGTTGGACGCCTACTTTTGCGTAAGGTTTCTGTTCGAAACGTTAAACGATAGCTCGTCGAGTTGGCCGTGAAGGTTAGCGTTGTTCCGTTGTCTAGTAGCGTCCACAGCCACCTTGAGACCCAGGTAAATATAGAAACACACACACACGGATATGTGCGGTGGGATGCAATTTTAAAATCGTTATTTCGCAATGTAGAGTTATAAATGTTCACTTTATGTTTCCAATAAAAGTTAACTGCCATCCGTCGACAACGGACAAGATCCGAGGCTGAAAATTATGAAATTTCGAGATGCAGCAGCTGCAACAAGATTGCGGTTATAAAGATTGTATAGGGTGTCCCAAACAGAACGGAACCCCCCATCAAATTTTCAGGGTTGTGTTCTATCTAATAATTGT